GGGGGTATCGTTGTTTTTGGACACTATCGTTCTCCAAATAAAACTCAGAACGGATGCCAGGTCTTTCTACAAAGCAATTGACAATAGTTTTGAAAACTACTGTGCATATGATGTCGTCCTGAGAATCTGACTACAAATCTAATTGAACACTCAGCAAAGGATGACGCAAGTGATCATCTGCATTCATGTTCAAAGTACACGGGTACTTCCTGAGTCCCTCACCAAAACAGCAGCAGCTATCACTGCACGGCCATCACCGGAGCCTCATGGAACAGCCCGTCCTTCGCTTCTCCCAAACATGTGTAGTGCGATCTTGGAGGCTGCCAGGCTAACTCCTCTTGTTACTAGTAGCGATGGCCTCCACCTAGTAGCTTCTTGTTGCTATCGAAAGCTTCACTCTCCCGTCGTTAACAAAGCTTCCGAATTCAAACCAAATGCAGTGCACAACCACTGTGCTCTGTGGTGACACTGTTGGCATTCCAGTGCTTTGAGTCTCACGTCATGTTAAGTTTCCCTTGAAACCTGTGTGAGCGTGAGCTATCCTGCGTCCATACGTAGTAGCTTAAGTAGCTAGTAGCATACTCCCTTACTTAATTAAGTAGGCACCTACTCGATTAAGTAGGAGCGAGCTTTCAATTAAAGTCTCATGTCATGTCTGTTTAAAAAGGATCCATGGCTGGGCATCCCTCGCCGAGATCCAAGAACCGCTTTGCAGCGAGTGCCTCCCAGGTCCGTCGACTTGATGAGGGAAGCGGTTCAATCGTACTTGAAGAATTCTTTTCACAGCTTCTTCACCCCACACTATTCAACATAGCTTGTTGCACTGAAAAAGGCGAGTTTTCTGCATACAGGAAGTTCTTTCACACATCTTGGCCCCGCCAAACACTGAGGGATCCCCAGACGCAAGACCGGTGGTACAAAGTAGAGGAATCGACCAAACTTGTGCTCTCTCCACGCCAGCTTCATTGGTCCAAAGGGCTGAAAACAAAAAAAGAACAGGGCCGATTCTTTCATCCGATGTTTAGGGTGAGCGCTTTAGGGTCCAAGCATGTGCTATCGAGGCTTTTGACGCTTTCAGATCTTGTCAGCACATAGCAAACTACTAATCACCCGTCAAAGCACCCAGGGCACCTACAGTGGCCACATGTAAAAATCAATTGTCTGCCAAGCATGCTCAGTGCGTTCTCACAGCAACCACAGCATATTTTGTGTCCTTCTGTGAACTTTATGATGCATGACAAAAATGTTCCCTAGTAGAACAAGTCTGGGATCCTCGGTGTGTCGCTCCTTCTGGATCGGCAACCCAGGTTCAAACTTCTGCGCAATGCCTGCAGTCTTTGCCATCTGCAAACCCCAGGGTTTTAACAATGTCCACAGGGAAACAGCAAAACTGGCATCCAAAAAAAATGCATCTAAAATGATGGGTGTCAAGCTCAAGTCTGAACCACCTTCCAACAACTTGCTCATGCCAGAGAAGTGGACGAAGCCGTAAGTAGCAAGCATCCCCACATGATCCTTGGGATTGTGCCATCTCAACTCATGGTGGGCCGACGGACCGAAAAACGTATCACAACAGCAACAAAGATCTCAGAGACTTGCGATGGATTGAAGTTTCTCTCTCCCACTCTCTCTCTCTCTCTTTCTTTCTCGTTCCCAGTGTTGAATCGCTCCAAAGATCTCAAAACCTGTCAAACAAGCTGCTACGCAAGCAACAAAGATCAGAAAGCAACAGCCAAGAGCACACCACTCTA